CACCTGGCTGGGCAGCGCCAGACAAAGAGAGGGAACAGCTCGGTCCTCCCGGTGAGAAAGTTGACGTGTGAAATATGTCCGGGAGCCTGCTGGGGAGGTAAGGTGAGGTACTGGGGCTGAAGAGCCGCAGGAGGAAGGTAGTCGGGGCTGGATGCCGGCGAGGCGTGCTGTGGGCTTGGGTGTTCGCTGCGGGAGGGTCGTGGGAGCGAGTCCGGCGGTAACGGCGGGGGGGGGGGGAAAAAGTCCCGAGACTGATAACGCATCGGTTTGGGTGTCAGAGCTGCTCCTGAGACACGTAAACCTGCGTTTTGCGTTTTTCCTGGTAAGCTCTGTGAGTACACTTGAATGAAGTTTGCAAGTGGGTTTGTAATCACGGAGACATTTTTAATTAATACTGGTGTATCTAGAGAAAAATAAAAAAGGTGAGCAACTGGGAAACTGAGAAGCTCACAGACGCCTTGGAACAGTAGTAGATGGCAAACTAGAAATGAGTTTGCAATGTGATATGACTGCAATAAAAGATTAGTGCTATATTTGGGTAGTATAGGCATGTGGATCAGTACTTTCTGGAGAAGTTAGGGACTATGCCCTTACAATGCAATGGTTATGTGGTATGATTGCATTTGGAATATGTTCATATCTGCACTAAATTCTACCGAAATCCTACTGAAAATCTGACAGGAGTTCAGAAGGCCTAATAAAAACTCTTAGTGCTGAAGGAATATACTGACTTACTCTAAGTAAAATACACAGAGCTGAGCTAATGAAGAAGATGCAGCATAAATACTTGAGGACTGCTGTACAAAGGAAGAATATAATTATGCAACATAATTCTTCAAGCTGATCCATTACTGGAGCTTTTTAGTGCTCTGGGTGAGCACCGACACCCAGGATCTTGCTGCTGAGTGAATGTGTTACTGGGGTTTAATGAATATGGTGTGCATTTTGGATCATTCAGTACATAAGTACAAAGAGAAGCAGAATTTAGATTTACAGAAAGAAATTCCTTCTGGCGAACAAAGAAAATCTGAGGCTCTTTTGTGTTGTTGAAGACTGTACTAGAAAACACATTTCCTTGGTTGACGTGTCTATGGAGATAATTATGTCATTCATGGGTAGATGGTCTGCAGTGGGTACTGACCATTTCTAATTTAAACCTAAAGTATTGATTATTTAGTAAGCTTACTAAGATTTATGATTACTGAGTTTGTGGGGTTACTGGTAAGTAAGGATTGCATGTTGAGGCCCCAGACACTTTCAGTCTCTGCAGTTTTACTGACTTCATTAGTTTTACATAAGTTATCTAAAAGAACATTTTCTTCCTTTCACTAATATTAGGCAAGAGTTGTCAATAATATGGTATTATATTATAAAGATATTATGTGTTATATATAGTGTATATATTATCGGTATAATTTTTATGATAACACAGAATCTTTTCAGATTTTTGTGCTGTAGTTTTTCTACTGTTGTGCTATAAGAGATTGATACACTTTCTGTCATGAAACCAGTATCCTGAAAAGGCTCTTCATATGTTGTACATGGAGGAAAACAAAAGCAGTTTCTGTTCTGAGGAAGTAGTTCCAGAATTAAGCTGGTTTTCACCAGTTTTGTGATTTGAAATTTGGATTGGTTTTATCCTGTGTTGCCTTTTTTTTTCCTTCTTATAGTTTGCTGTCATTTCTGTTATTCACTAGTGTGATATAGGCAGTTGTCAATAATCTTGTTGGCAAGATTAACCATGAAGAAGAAATTAGAGGAGGTCTGTGAATAATGCCTAATTTCTGGAAACAAGCTCCTCTTCTCACAGTTGTCACTATCATCATTCTGCCAATGGTTATGTCAATGTATATCAATATTTAGAAGTCTTAAGGACAAGAATTGTAGGACTGTTGGTTTTCATGGTCAGATCCTGGAACTACAGGTGACAGTTCAGTGCAGAACCAAGGTGTATGAGCTCAGGTACAGGATATATGTAGTCATATTGTTTATGGAACAAAGCCTGTGTTTCCCAAAGCTTTGGTAGTTGGATACATTTTCCTCTGGTTTGAAAATGGCAACACATTTAGAAAGGCAGATCGTCTGAGCCACTCCAAACCTGTCCAGTGTAGCGAGGCAGCAGCTGCATGAATGAACCTGATGTATCTCAGCCTGCTCCTCAGCTCCTTGGAATTGTTCACTTCTGCCAGGCTTTTGAAATGGACTTCTGAAGATGGCTGGACAAAGTACACAGGCTGCTGCTTTAGTGGTTTTTCATGACTCACTAAGGATTCCTTTTGGGAATCACTGGACTATGCTGATTCATTTAACTAGCACTGCGCTGCAGTGAGAAAAGACCTAAACTAGTAAATCAGCAGTCTTGGGGATCCCTGTGGCAGGTTCATGTGGTACAGACTTCCTTGCAACCTGGTTTTTAGAGGAAATGATCACTTGTGCTACCTACAAGTGTGTTTGAAAGTACAGTTGAGAGTCTGATTCTGTTAGAAATGTACCCATTATGCAAGTGGTTTTCAGAGTAAACCTAAGCAGGCATATGTTCACTCCTTGGCTGAAGGGTCTTGACATCTCTTGCTACTTTGGGTCAGTGTTTGATGGAGCGCCTGTTTATGAATCTGGCATCATGATCTTCGTGCAGCAGTTTACTCCCCTCTGCCTGCTGGCACTATTATTGTGAAGCAGCAGAATGCTGGAATAAGAATCCTGTCCCGCTATTATTTGTGTTACAGTAGTGACTGGAAGTCCCATTGCACTGAACGCTCTGTAAACATGAGTTAAATGACGGTTCTCTCCCAACAAGGTACAACAAATGTGAAGGGATCAGGATATGAGCATACATTTTTGCATAGTATGGCTACAGACACAATCCTAGGTGTTAAATTGTTGGGGATTTACCCGAGCTGACCGTTTGCTGTCCTTCTACATGCATTTTTACAAGATTCTGTTAAAACTCTCCATTTCTCTTTAAGATACTTATAAGTCCCTATCTGCATAATAAACACGTGCAGCCAGATTAAGGAACATTATTGCAAGATCTAAGGGGGAGATAAGAGAATGTTAGCAGTAGGGAATAATTCTTGATATTAGAAAACAGACACAATGGCATTAGAGATTCTATGAGAAGAACTGACAATAACTCCCCCTAAGCATAGGAGACTGAAAAATAATAGCAACGCTTTTAATTAAAATTACATTTAAAACTTTTTTTTGTAACTTCTGCATATTGAGTGGAGGGGGCTTTTAGCTTGGCATTACAATCTAGCAATGAGCAGCCTTTTGAATTTTATTATCAGCACTGATGTTCCAGAATGCTGCAGCATTAGAGTCATTTGCTGGAGGTGCAGAAGGTGGCCATGAGGGTCCTACAATTGCAGAATTTCTCTAGGTTTGCCTTTTTTTGCACAAGTTTTTTTGCATTTAAAGGAATGTAAAGCAGGTGTTAAAGAAGGAATTTACATAGACCTGACATGTGGATAGAAAAATAATAGGATATTGTATGGTTTCTTACTTTTCCAGCTAGATTTAATATAAAAAAAAAAAGCAGTCTTTTTCTTTGCCATTAACTGAACAATAGCTTGCATATCAGAGTTAGTTTAGTTTGTATAGGAGTGGTTGTTACCAGGTAACAAGGTGAAAGGAATCATTGGCCCATTTTAGCTCGGGCTTTAGATTTCTGCCAATGTAAAAAATATAGAACTGCCTTTCAGCTGATACTGATGACTTCCTAGATGTGGGAACCTGCTCCTTTGTTTAGTAGAGATGCTGGGAGGCAGCTTCATAGACATAATCATTTCAAAAGACTTGTAGACCTGCTTGTTGGTACTTGTAAGTGAAGAAACACAGTCCAGCAGTGCTATAAGACTGACAAGCTGTGGTCTAAAGTGTTGTGAGGATTCTTTATCTCCTTTCCTGGAAAAATATTGCAAATGCACTTGCTGATTTCTTTTCCGTGGATGCCTAGGGAGAAGTTGAGAATGAGTGGGAAGATAGAAAACAATGTTATCCCACTTCATACTATTTTATGAGTGTGGTGCTGTTCCATAGAGGACCTGTGTTTGCTTTCTAGGGAATTTACTTTGTAGAATTCTTCAAAGTACAGGGTAGTGATTAAGACAAAAATTGAAAGCATTATTTCTTAGCACGTAATCTGTCCTTACTTGATTACAGTTCAAATCCTAGTTAAATTAATCCTGAAGCTTGTTGAAAAGTCTGTGGGAAAAATGAAATTTTTATATTTGCAGAAGTAATAGCCTTCCGTGTATTCAATTTGTTTTAGCTACTTCTGGCTTCATATTGCTGAACTTTTTAATGGTTCTTTATCTCTTTCTCTAGTGGTACGTCTGCAACACAGAACAGTTGTCTGAAGCCCTTCAGCCTATTTTTGTCCAGAGTTACCTTGACCAAGGAACACAGATCTTCTTAAACAACAGCATTGAGAAATCAGGCTGGCTGTTTATCCAGCTCTATCACTCTTTTGTGTCCTCAATTTTTAGCCTGTTTATGTCTAGAACATCTATCAATGGGTAAGTGAAAAGTCAATCTTGGGTAAACTAAATACAGTTTGGATTTAGAGTTTTCAAGTGTTCAGCCCTACCCCTTGATCTGTCAGCTTTTCTTAAATTTCTAGTTTTCCCTTTGCCAGTCTTAACAGATCTGAAATGCCCTACTGTGCGCTTCATGCCCAACTCTCATAATTGAAGAGCACCATTTCCAGTATGGGGGGACAGAGGAGGTAATTGCAATTAATAAGAGACAGTCGGAGGACTCTAATTGTATTTTATAACCACTACTTGTATTAATTTCCTTCTGAATAAGAGAGTGTTCTTGTGGTGTCTCTTCCCTCTGCTTTCTTCCCTTCCCCTCCTGCCGCCTTGTCCTTTTACTTTACCTACTGCCATATCTGTATCAGTCACTGTTGTGATTGTCCTTGTTGAAGGTGGCTGTATCCAGTCAGTTCTGTATTGCATCTAAAACTTTCTACTAGAGAGTGTGTGCACACCCACTGCAAACCTAGGCAGATTTCTAAACCATGCAGAAGTTGGCCAAGTGTCCTGTCAGGTAATACTAATGTGGAACAGAGTTCTAGCCTTTCTCTTATTCTGTAAAACTTAATTTCATCTCAGTTTGTGTGTACTTGAACAGGTAACTTCTGATGTAGCATGTTTGACTGATGAAACATCAGGAAGGCAGGAAAAGAGGAGTTTATAAAACGGTATTCTCCTAGTCTTATTGTGTCAGGTGTCTTCTGTGGCTGCAGTGGAGTTTAGCTGTTCATGGGTGCTTAAGGTTTTTTTTCCAAAAAAGTCAGTGCCTTTTTTTGCTTATGTCATCCCATTTGGACATATGTTTAACAGCTTATCAGTTTTGAGCTTGTGAAGAATGTGTGGTTTTTACATTTACCTGATTTCTCCACTATCCCCACCTCTGTACCTACTACATACTTCTGGACAGTGTGATATGAGAATAGTAGCTGTCTACTAAGGCTAGAAAAATCATCTTTTTCCTTATTTTCTAAGCAGATGACTTTTTGAGCTTCCCTGTGGTGTTCTTAGTTACTTGTGGCTTTATATAAAGGTTCCTTTGGTCTCCTCTTCTTCCTTTCTCTTCTATTTTTTTTTTTTTCAAAGGCTCTCCAGTGCTTTGAATAACACCTCATAGTGCTGTTAGGAATAATAGCTATGAGCCAATTATACAGTGTGGACTGACACAAGTGTGCTGCAAGGGGGCTCTACTTAAATTGGCTGTATTCTGTTTATACATTTAATATCCTGCTTTAGTTTCTTCTATATGACTTTGTATACTTCTGTTTGTTTGTTTGTTTCTTTGGGTTTTAGTACAGTCAATGTTTCCTAGGCTGCCTCCTTTTGACATTTTTTTATTCTTTGATTCTTTTTATCTTTGTTTACCTTTTTTCTCCCCCTTGAACATAAAAGATTTCTGTTCATTGTCTTTAAGTTTAACCTGCTATCCAACATCAGTTTAAAGAATAGTATTTATCTACCTTCAGTCTATTACTGACCAGTTCTTTTTCCTCTGCTTGTTCTCCTAACTCTTTCATCTTCTGAATTCTGCTATGACAGCTGAAAGCTCTCACTATGTAGTCTTCAAACAGTTGCTGGCAGGTATGTCATTGACTTGATCCATAAGGAATCCAACTGTCACCTCTACCCAATTCCTTAATGAGTTGCCTATTTTCTATTCCACAGCTCTTCATGTTGAATGCAGGATCTACAGATAGCAGCAAAAGCCATTGTAACATACAATTACAAAAATCTCTTTTGCTACTCCAGCAGTGTTACCCCCGTCCTTTCTTTAAATCTGTTCCCTGGCTTCCCTCCTAGTTCCACATCCTATTCCTCATTCATTGTGCATACTTCGGTGTCTGCAGCCATTTTATTTCCTCTGTTATTTCTTTTTTTTTTTAAGGCAGGTGGCAGAGATTCAAATCTGCAAATGTGACAAATAAGGTTCAGCCTTTATCTTTCCATCTCTTTCTCTCCCCTTCCTTTTTTTTTTTTAATGTGATCATTTTCTTGAGCTGCACCCCATGAGCTCTTCCTTACCTAATCAAATTCCTCCTGAAGTCTTAACCACTGTAACTGCATGTGGCTATGTGTTTGATCTCTGACAAGTGCAAGGCAAGTTGAACTGGATTTAAAATTTATCTGAGCAGTGACCTTGTCTACTATTCTGTGTGACTGGTTGCTGCCAAAGCAGATTCTAAATTACTTAATTGTCCTTCCTGTTAAAGTTTGTACAAAATTGGTCATTTCTTGTTTTTACGTTTCAGGCTGCTGGGAAGGGGCTCTATGTTTGTGTTTTCCCCAGAACAATTTCAAAGACTGCTTAAAATAAATCCAGAATGGAAATCCCACAGACTTCTCGATTTAGGGGCTGGGGACGGAGAAGTCACTAAAGTCATGAGTCCTCACTTTGAAGAAATCTATGCCACTGAATTGTCTGAAACTATGATATGGCAGCTTCAGAAGAAGAAATACAGGTATCGTGCTGAATACTTCCTACATGCCTTATATCAGACATTACAGCAAAGTAATCTATTTGTAATATTTAATGAATGTTCAGTATTTTTAGTCAATTCCTCTATTGTTTGATCATTATTGAAAAGGTTAACTTGTACAAAAGCAGGAAAACAAATACAATTGATGTTCCCTCTTACCAGTGCTTTTGTTATGTGGATGTTCCCTGTTATCAGTTAAGACAAAATAGGCAACAATCATTTTGAAGTCTCTTTCTTCATAGCTTGTGTAAATTGCTTTAATCAAGGGAGTCAGGAGGATGAAATTCGGATGAAGAGTCTTAACTGAACAGTCTGAAATTGCGAGAGGAAGACAAAAGTACTGCAGAGAAGGCAAACTGAATCCTGGTAATAAGGACACCTCAATAATCTGTGTCTATCTAATCCCACAGTATAGACAACTGTGTAAAGATTCTTTTATTCTTGCTATGCTTAGCTTCTGCTGTTAAGATTGAATAATATTTAGTAACAAAAACCTCAGCACTTCCAGAATTTTGTTCATGCACTTGTCGCAGCTCCTGGAGGTTCTTGCAGGCAGCAGATCCAGTCTTGTTGAGAAATAGTTGGTATTTCAGCACTATATCCCTAGACTTAAAGCCAAAGAATGAAGGAACTGTGGATTTCTTTTCTTCACCTGTCTTTGAGTAGAAACGTAACAGCTACTTTGCAGTCCAGGTTTGCACACTGGTAAATCAGAGTGGGTAGAATGCAGCAAGCCCCTAATCATATTTCAGCTTTGTTGTTTTTTGAGAAGTATCTTCAGTTTTATTCTAGGGCAACACATTTTTTTTAATACCTGGGGGTTTGTTTTTGTCTCTTTTATTGCCTGATGATTGTAATGGAATACAAAAGTTCGTATGGCTAGACATATAGCCATGCCCATTGTTGATTTAGTTTTCTTTTCCAAAAGACCAGAAGAATCATGTCTGTCTCTTCTCATTGCCTCGGTGGCTGACCTTACCTGCACTATCAACACATCCATAGGGAATTTTTGTCTTCAGTGATTCTCTCTGAGCTCGTCTTGTGTTTAACAGGCTATATCTCTTTCCATTTGTAGGGTGCTTGGTATAAATGAATGGCAAAACACAGGATTTCAGTATGATGTTATCAGCTGTTTGAATTTGCTGGATCGCTGTGATCAGCCACTGACTGTATTAAAAGATATTAGAAGTGTACTGGAGCCAACTAGAGGCAGAGTCATTCTAGCATTAGTTCTGCCATTTCACCCGTATGTGGAAAATGGTAAGTACACAGATTAATAGCTATTTAGGCAGGTAAAGAAAACATTTGTAGGTTACAGTATGCCATATTAAATGTTTAATAAATAATTACCACGTTTGTATTTGATTTTTGCAAATAACTTGTATGGTGCATGTTCAGAAATATGAAATCACAGGTAAATGGTCCGCATGATGTAAGCTGTTTTCTTAATTCCCCAATACACGTTGTTGGCACCAACAAAAAGCTCAAATATTGAAGTTGCATATCCTGTTCTGCAGGTTGTCACATTTGAGCTGTGTTGGAGCGACATGGGAAAACTGATCTCTGATTAGGGCCCTCTGCTGCTGTCATATAGGTAATCCCAGTTGTCTCTAGTGACCAATTGAGCAAAACCAGCAGAACTGTCTGTAATACTGAATAGAGCAGTTCAGGTCAAACTGTTCCAAGTGTTCCAGATGAACTGCACCTAAAAATTCATAGGCAGATAATGTTCACTTTCCATCATGAGCTCTCAAAGTAAAATATAGATCCCTACTAATACAAAGTATCAACCACTACTTATATTATATTAGTAACGGGAATGGAAAAGTAAAATTCAATGCCAAAACTCCATTATTTGCCCTAGTTGCATTTTAAAGAAATACATGAGAGATTTTTGAAATTAATCTGTCCTTATGATTAAACTTCAAAAGCAACTAGAAACTTTTTTTTTCCATGTGCCTATGATTATGGATTCAGGTTAAGGTACTCTAAAGGTGGTTTGAATTGCAGAAGGCTGGTGTTTTATCAGTCATCGTTTGGACGCTGGCTCTCCTTGAGTATTAGGACTTGTCTGTGGAAAGGCGTGTATGACCAGAAAATACAGAACTAATAACCTTAACATTCTGGCAATCACAAATGTATCAAACTGAATCTGTTTTCCTCTTTATATGTCAGTGGTATTGGGGGGGTGGGGTGGGGTGGGCAGTTTTAAGTATAGAAAGTAATGCTGTCAGGTTGAAGAATTGCTTAAAATACAGTATTTGAGCATGTAATTTTGTAACTATTCAGGAAAGTAGTGTGTCTTAAATGAGATGAAGGGGTTGACTTACGCATCTGTACAGTATTTTAAGCATATTTGTTACAACTTATTATTCCTATAATGTGGAACAATATGGCTTCCTCTTTTCAAAAGTCTTTTACAATTCTGAATAACAGCAGTGTCTTTCTCTTCTTTGATTGACATATTAGAAGCAGAAATTGGGAAATTATTTGGGTGGCTTTTTTGTTTGTGTGCCTTCAAAACTACATGCAGTGTGTGTTTTGCAATCGCTGTTGCACCCAGCATCTACTTTTCTGCATGCTGTTGGGTGACCATGTGACAGACCGCATGCCAACTTCCTGGTTTAACAGGAGGTAGATAAATTAAGGAAGAAACTAAGCCCGCTTATATCCTTCATCATTAATCTACTACAGTATACTAGGAGGAGAATAGGGTGTTAAGTTTATAAATTCCAAGGGACTAGAGACCTGTTCTGTGGTTATTGAACTTGTTCATTGATTATAGTTGTTGAACATTGAAATCTGTTGTAAGATGTCTTGTAAACCAAAGTCATACTTTCGTTTGTGGTGGTGACTTGTAACAGATTAGTGACTTTGCTTAAGGTGGTTTTGTTTCCTTAATATGTTCTGAAACTTAAAAACATACTCAGTTTGTCTGTTTACCACTATTAGGGATATGGGCCCATATAAACTTCTTTAGACAATGTAAGTTAGCACACACACAAGTTACTGTCATTCCACTGAAGCTTTCCCACTTAAGATCTATTTAACTGTAGTGTAAAGAAATAGACAGTGAACTGCCAGGCTGTCTTCATGATGTACAAATGATTTTAGAATTTCCGTATTTTCATTCAGCTGTTCTGCAAGACGATGCATTTTAAAAAGTGTTAGATATGTACATATACTTTATCTTTAACAAAAAATAAAATAAACTTGGAACATTCAAAGAGGAGAACATCTCATGGCTCAAATAGCTTCTTGTAACAGCTGATTAAAAACAGTTTGGACCCTCCTAGAGAAGCTTTTGAATTTTAGAGGGGGGAACAAATGTAGAAGAGATGAGGCAGGTAAGGTGTTTGATCAATCTATAGATCAGTTCCTAGAAATGGAGAAATTAGTTTAATCAAAACGAGGTATTTGGGTTATTACATGTAATGTAATGGGAGGGTAATTGTGGAAACTGTCTATGTGAATAACATAAAACTTGCTTTAAGAGAGCAAAGCAAAGGGGAGGAGGAGGTAAAATATATGTCTGTGCTTACTGTTTCTGGAATTACAGTGACACCTAGAGTCCAAAGTAGCTTAATCATAAATTCTTTATGGGGCTTTTCAGAGTTTTATTTTCAACATACAGAATGACAAATAATGCACTTACTGCACATGTCTAAATTTAGCAAGTAAGCCGGAGGAATTGTAAGGTATTAGACTAGTCGCATAAGAACATGTATTATTAAAACTTTACATTTTTAATAGGTATCCCATAGGGTCATATAAAAATCCTTTGTATTTCCTAATATAGACATCATATTTATATAAAGACATTATTAGATAATATATGACTAGACTGCTTTAAGTTTCTCAAAAATGTCAGAGACATCATACTTCAGAAGTAATAGACACTAACAGCCTGAGATTGTGAAATTTTCTTGTTGAACACATTAATGTCCTTATGATTGATGTATGGGGTTAAGAAGATAAAGGTGTGTTTTCCATCTTCCTGAAATACTTGCTACTAAATTGAGCTGGAAGCACAGTACTGTGCTAGATGGACCCTTGCTTTGTCTCAGTTGTCAGTTCTCATCTCACTGAAGTGAGAAATGCTGTTTCATTTCTTAAACAAAAAAAAACCCCACATTTATTTAAATGATGATAAAAGGTGCAGCTGTTCTTTAGTAGGGAGAATGCCTGATGCTAGCAGATCTCTAGTAAAAGTGCTGATTTTGTAGATTGGCTAGGTAGTAACTAGCCAGTTAAAAAAGCCTAGTAAAAAAGAGGTGGTACTTAAAAAAAAAAAAAAGTATACTACTGTGACTAGGTAGTATACTTCTGTGTTCGTACCTGTATGCATGTTGAACAGGCATGTAAAGGCAAAACTTGGTACTCTGGGTAATCCTGACTTTGGACGGTAGGTCTGGAAGATGAGGGCTGTCTGTTTAGCAAGTGAATTTTAATACTGCAGGAGCAACTGTCTCACTGTGGTCACTACTTTCTGTTCCTAAATAGGCTAGGAAGAAGCTCCCATCCCAAATGAGCTTTACCATGATAGTACATGCATTTATATTGTTTGTTTTTTCTGTTTGCCTGTCTATGGAATACATAGGTTTTGCTCTGTTTAAACTGTTGTTAAGACTCAGTAACTGTTGATCTGTATGTCTGTTACATCGATCACTATCACATTAATGTGACTAAAACCAGAATTTCATCTATGAAAACAGTTTATTTTCTGTTGCTGTCAATTATCATACATCTTTCACAAATGCTCAATTCATGTAAAAGGAATACGTGTAAATTTATGTAAAAAGAAAAGAAGACATATCATTAAACCTAAACTGAAAAAGGAAACTTTCATGAAGCATTAGCCATTATCTTATGAAAGACTAAGTATTTTCCGATGGTTCTTATTCTTGCAGAATGGAAAATGGAAGTAATATATTACATAGATGTTATGTGCAACATACTTGGTTTTGGTGATCTGTTTAGAAAATACTCTTGAAGGACACTGCCTGGCAAGGTTTTCTCCTCTCTTTTTAAAGCACGGAAGTCTGTGAAGAAGCTTAACTTCTTCACCTGCCCTTTTGCTGGTATGAGAAATATTGAACAAATCTGAACTGCCACACATGTTCATCTGTTCTGATAAACACTGTCATCTTCCAAATCATCCTAGGGGAAAAATGTAGAAATATTTTGTTACTGATGTGAACTTTTTTTTAATAAAGGCAGACTTTCCTTTATGAGGCAAACTCCATCCCTTTACTCTTTCAGTAAACTCCTTTCTCCCCGCTTATCCAGTTGCTTTTGTCCATGTGGCATCTACAGGATTCAAAATGTATTTCTTTCCCTCTTGGCTTTTCCTAATCTCCAGGGAGCACAGAGGCAGTAAAACATACCCCTTATTTTCACTGTGTTCATATCTGATGCTCAAACCAAGAACCAGGTCATGTCAGCAGGGACTTGAAGTTTTTAAACGGGTAGTTACAGAGGAAAACAATTGGGGCTGTGTGGAAATAAATGAAGTAAAAATGTATAGAGGAGAAGTGTTCTTCGTTCTGTGTTTCTTTTGGTTTCTCCTTGCATCTCTGAAGTGGTGCGGTCCATGCTCAGAATAGGAAAGAATACTCTTTCTCAAGAAAAACATTTTTGAAGCAGGATTTTGAAGCCATTTTCTTTACTTACAAATACATGTGACTTCTAAAGTTGTATCTTTGTAACTTACATGGCATATGCAAAATTATTGTCATATCATCATGTAAGATTTATTGGCATAAATTTGGAATGATGAAATAAGTTGTGTGGATTTACCCAGTGATGTTGAATACTTAGTTTAGGCTCTGGATGTTGAAGGAGGGGCAAGTATCTGCAAGAATGTTGTAGAGCTTTTTGTAACAGTTTTGTTACATTTCTGTCACCTAGCTACCCTGGGCTAAGGGAGCAAGAGGAACTACAATAGAAGTATTTTCCAAAAATGAACTCTTAATAGCTGTATGTGTTTTACCAAACAGTCCAGAACCACTTGTTGAGACCTTTTCTTGGCAAAATACAAATTTATGGGAGCTTCTTGTTTAAATGTACATATATACATACATACATTCTATAAGGTACTATCTCATATATATATAAAATTATATATGTATGGTCATTTAGAATGCTTTATTGTCTTTGACTCTTGTGCAGAATATTTTTTTTAGACCTTTATCAACTTTAAAAAAGAACAGTCTATTTCCAGAGGAAATAGAAATTATATACTCTACTGTCAGTTCCTCTTTTTCCCCATAAATTTCTGTATTGGTAGATAGATACTTACAGGCTGTTGGCAATGTTCAGTGTACCTCTGCTTTTGAAGTTCTTGGGCAATTGCTTGAAAAATTTTTCGGCCACTACTGAGTTTCTGCAAATTATTTAAAATATTTTAGGTCAGTGCTACATTTGAAGTTGGGGGAAACCATCTTTTTCTGCCATTTAAAATTCTGATTTTTTTCCTTGTATACATGTTTGGGATTGTTACTAAATAACACTTTAAGAACATATGGTTTGTCAGGCAGAAGGGTTTTAAATTACATTAATATTACATCTCTTAACATATGTATCTTCTTTAATAGATATTTAAATGTATGGCTTCTCATTTTTATTCAAGGATACATGGTGATAGATGTTCTTTAATAGACTTGTTTTAAATACATTAGGGCTTACCTGAATGCACCATTTAAACAAACAAAAAATTAATAGCAGAACCTCTTATTTCCAGAAGTTTGAACAAAATTTACTTAAAACCTAAAGCAAGCTGTATATTAGAAATGATCTTTATATAGATCGACTTTATCCTGTTTGTTAAAATAAATTAACTAATTTAACTACATTAACTAATTAGTTAAAATTAGTTAAATGTAAATTCATTAACTAGTTTTGTACAAATCTGAAGTGAAGCCTTAACGGCTCTGAATGTCTCTAACTGAATCATCGATTAATCACAAAATATATGTCCGATATACTTAAAAAAGACAGGAAAAAAAAAAGCTTTGAATCACAGGTAAAGCAAACAAAGTGATAACATACACAGTTCTCTGTTCTTTGGTCTTCCTTCCCACTTTTCTTTAGCAGCTTTGGTTTTAACTAGAGGAAGGGATAATAAAATAAAAAATGATTAAAACATAAGATGAGAAGCCAAGTGCTGAGGTAGCAGAATAGTTAAAAGCATTACCCTTTTACACTGTCACACAGTTTGTAGATAAAAGTCTTCCCTTAGATCGGCTTATACCATTGGAAAAATCAGAGAAGTTTTCAAGTGTGTAAGGCATTTTTCAGCTTCTGGTAGTAGATGTTGCAAATATTTTTGCTTTGAGTGTGGTGGGACCTGCCTAAAGGACTGCCCAGTTCTCAAAAATAAACCAGTGGCATCACAGATATCAGGTCTTCCTCTGAAGAAGGCTTGATTATTTTTTCCCACTATACTACTTCATCTAGTTTAAAGAAAAAAGAAAAAATCAAAAAGACTGTCCTGTCTTTATGCTTAGGCAGTGATCGCTACAGCAAAGAACCATTTTACTGTATCACACCACTTAGGACTGTGAAGTCCTCATTCTCATGTCAAAGTCTCATTATTATGTAAAGATTCCAATTGCAGCTTTGGGTGTTTGTTTTTAACTAAACACAAATTTTTTTCTAGATTTAAAACAAAAAAAAATTGTTGTGTAACTTTTAACCAGGTGCATTCTAATGTGTTTGTTTCCTATAAGCATAAAACTCCTTCCAAGTCGCTGATATTTTTAAATTTTGCCAAGGTCTCTCTTCTGTATATGTATGATGCATGAATAGAATTTCATCCCACAAGTCAGTGTGCAGTAACTTTACTGCAGCTCACATACTTTCACATTAATTTAAAATTATTTTACTTTTACTGGAAACTAATCCAGAGGGTTGATGACTTATGATGGTCATTTCTAGTTGTGCTTTTTGAGTATGCCTTGATAGATGATCTCCAACTTGCTGATTAATACTTCCAGGATAATTTTAACTTTAGAATACCTTTTCTTTTAGACACTTTACTGAAAAAAGAAAATGTGGTTGCTGTTGAGAGTACAGGTATGTGCCACACGGGAGTTTGCAGATGTGTGCAGCATATGAACCCAACCAACCACCTCTTTAAAACTTAACCATAAAAGTTACAGAGTCTAGGAGTCTCCCTTTATCCTCCTTGCACAGATGTTAAAAGTGCTTAGATTTACAAAATTAACAAAATCAGAAAAATCACTTTGAGCCTACCTTGTAGACTACAAAGAATGTGAATACAGTGGTGCTGTATAGAAACAGTAAGGATGAAGCGATGATCATGAAGATGAAGATGAGTTTTCCATTGCTGTGCTGCTTCTCTGCTCCTTTATTAAAAGTGAGTGTTAGAATAAAGGACAGTTCTTCTGATTCACATGATTTTCGTAAGATTCTGCATTTCAGCCCCCTTCCTCTGAGGAACTGAAAAACCTTATACCCATCAATATTTTTCTGGTTCGTTTTCAGTGTAAATTCATTAGTGAGATCACTTTTCTTTTGTTTCCCTGAATGTTTGCAAGAGTAATGGAGACTTGCTATTTTTTATTGTGAACCATTCCTTTAGGGGTACACACAGAATGGAATCCAGTTTTCTGCTCTTGTAAAGGAATATCTGAATAAAGCTTACAGGCTTTTGTTCAGAAATGCAATTACTTAGAGGAAGGAAGGAATATAGGGAATAACCAGCTAGAATTTTGGGTTTTTTTTTCTATTTTAGGCATGTAAAACTGAAATGAAGTTAATGAAGTCTCATCACTTTGTTAACTAGAAGGGAAATGATACAAAAGTTCAGAACTAAAACTTTTTTGCCTCAGGTTGGCACAGCGAATCCCCAGTTCTGAGACCCTGTACTCTGTTGCATGTATTTCCACTAAATGTCAGTTTCTCTACTTCTCATTTTTCTGTTGATACTTCCTTTCTGATAGCCATTAAAGTCTCTGTAAGAGGATATAGAATATGGTTTGATAACATAAGTACAAAACTTCTTTATTTTGTAGAATTCTAGACTCATTTGCATCATATGACAGAACAGTAATTAGCAAACGAGGTTAAGATGCTTATTGGTAGAATCTCCCCATGGTTTTACTATTAATATTTTAATACAGTCATGATACTACTAACGGTTTTGTTGGTATTTCCATCTTAAATGCCATTCTTGAAAGTGTAAATAAAGAGGAATAAATATTTAGGAAAGATAATTTATTTCTTTTAAGATGCTTTAGTAAGAAGGAATGATCAACTGACCTGTTTTCGTTAGTACTGTTCCATCTCCTGTTTGTTTAGAATGGGGTGAACTTGAATCTGAAAATGCTATTCCACAGATATAAACAGCATTGTCATCTACAGTGAGATCATTGATCTGAAGTGAAATGTTATTTTCTGATAATACATGTACTCTGTACTTCTGATGATCTGTGCATCCAGGAGTACACAAATCCTCGTGTTCATTAGTTAAAAAGCGAAACCATAGAACTTGCGGTGGGGACGAGGAGCATCCAGATGCAGAGAAGGCACATGCTAGGAACACAGTGTGCGTGGAGTAGTCAGCTTCCTGAAATCTGGGTTGTGTTACAGTGACTTGGCAGCTGTCTGCAGCACCTGTTGAGAATAAACAATTGGTAATGTGAGGGACAGTTAAAAAGCGAGGCACAATCTAAAAAGAAAATAAGCTACTTCTGGTTCATTTGAGGAAAATGTGGGAGGAAAGGAGGAAAACCAGCCATGTTTCAAACTTGAAATTTTTAAGGTTGTTTCTTAAAGCAAACTTTTCTTTTAGATAATTCCCACAGCTTGTCCATGTGTTCATTTAACAGTTTTACCTATGTGGTAATGTGCTTAGCTTTCTGTTTTTCTGAAAAAGTATAGAGAAGATTCATATATCAAAAATAATGTGAATATCTCCTTTGGCTCTGGAGAAGACCAAAAGAATATTTTGTGTAGTTCCCTGCCTTGGATTTAGTCTTGAGTGTTTTGGGGATTCGGGGGGGCAATGCACGGTGCGGGGGTGGGTGTCGTGTGACATAACTGTAGATGCTCAGTGGAGTAGTTCCGCAAGGGTTTCTCTCTCCTCCACTGTTCCTGATCTGAGTCAAGTGAGAGCCTGATAGCAGGCAGTGGAAATGTCGTAAATAGAAACATTTATAATTTAGCAATTTCATAACATTGATTAGAATTCATAATAGTTCCTAGACATTCTTCCACTTGATCACATATATTGACTCTGGGTTTCTACGAATAATAATAGTGCTTGTTAGTTCTGGCATTTAAAAATGTGTGCAGAGAAAACAGGAAGGTTAATCAGAGGATAGAATTCTAATTAAGGAACTGAAATGTAATGTTTAATATGACTGGTCTGGGAGATTTTTTTTTCAAAGTCTTTATTGAAATCTATAATTTAACTACTTATTTTAGTATATTTAATTTTATTCAAATAAATTGCTTAGTTATTTAAACAGTGGAATTGAGATTATTGCAGTGAAAACAAAGGTAGTAGCTTAACAGCATCCTTTTCTGCTTCCTAGAAAAAACAAATTCGAAGAAAAATAAACTGAAGTTTCTTAATCTACTGCTGATATACAATTTTTAAGCCTGTCCACAGTGGACAATCAGTATTGTCCCTTCATCATTTTTCTCACTGAGTGTTTTATGGACCAAATCCAAACAGATTCAGTGTCTGTGACTTCTACAGGAGTAAAATGAAACTCTACTTCTGTGTCAGATCAACATCAGAGCAGTTCCATAGCAGCTACAACAATCTGAAGGTTGTAGTAATATAAATTGTTGGTGTACTTTCACCCTGTGTGGTGAAAAGCAGTACTTTGTGCTTCTGCAGTTGATCCCCTTCTCTTTTCCACCTTGCTCTAGGGCTCTGGGTGGCCTTGCAGAGCACAACTCCACGGCTTCAGTTGATGTAGATACTGTCTACTGAACTTCCCAAACCTTCTTCCCAAACAAGCACAGCTGCCCTGAAACCATGCTGCTGCTGCTGGACCATTCTTTGCAGGGAAGTGCAATAGGATTTGACCCAGAAATCATAGATTACCCAAGCATTTCAGACTTTGAGAAGAAAAAGCATTTGCTAACAGTTGTTTAATGTGGAAGTTGTATGAAGATAGCAGAAATTAGCTTGATTCTCAGCAAAACTTTTTACTGCTCTTATTTTGTAGCTATGTTGCAAATCATAACCACAACATTTTCAATCTTGTTTAACTGCTATTACATGGGAAAATATAAGAAGCTAAAAAAAAGTCTTACCAGCACCATACAGAATCCAGTCAAATGCCAGCATTAGCATGTTTTTTAATTTGTTGAAAGATGCCATTTCTTGTATGTCTCTGGTAATGATTCTGCTTGAAGGAAGAGGAACTTAGGAAATCTTTGGAGTTGCAGAATGCTCTGAATCACAAGATTGAGAACTTCCTGTTTAGAAGGGTGTTTACTATTGCATTTAGCAAACTAGTTAAAGGTACAGAGCAAAACAGAAAACACTTGTTATTTGTGGATGACCTTACTTGGAAAATGACTGAAGAGTTTTAAATTTTGAACTTCTGAGAGTTGTACTTATAATCCTTCAGACTATTTCATTGGATATAACAAATGACAACACATTTTCCAGCATGCTACAAGTGTTCAGCTTCTTAATTTTATATGACCTAAGCAGTCTTTACCATATCAGCTAGTAGGTGGGCCACTGGAGGAACAAAGATTCTGTAGCCATCCATTATAATGTGGTGGTCTACTGATGGAAGCTTCACAGCAAATCATAATTTTCAAGTTGCTGACTCTATTTACTGTAATTACCTGAAGCCATCTTTGGCCAGACAGTGGGCATAAAGAAAGAATTTTCTAGTGCTGGAAAAGATCTTCATTAAATTGTCTGTCCATGTGAGCTGAACACCAGCCTCACTAGTGAAAGTTGCTTTTCAGCCAGTCTTGGAACTGCTAGTTAAAAATGGAATAAAAGATAACCTTAAGAAGGAGGTGCTTCTGAACAATAGGCAAAAACTTGAACTGATCTTGCAACAGCACTACAAATGGCTTTTCAACCTCGTATTTGGAGTGCAATGGAATATAATCTGTGTAATATGCTTTCTGTAAGAAAAGACAACACACAATAAAGTTTTCTTTATAATTAAACAAAACTGTTTTGTTTTCTCAGTAGGTGGCAAGTGGGAAAAGCCCTCAGAAGTTTTGGAAATCAAAGGGCACACTTGGGAAGAACAGGTGAATAGCCTGCCAGAAGTTTTCAGTAAAGCTGGTTTTGCCATAGAGGCTTTCACCAGACTGCCATACCTATGTGAAGGTGATATGTATAATGACTACTATGTACTAGATGATGCTGTCTTCGTCCTCAAGCCAGTGTAAGCATGTATGAAGTAAATCTCCAGAATCTAACCCGAGAAGCAGCCTCTGAAAGAGGGGTTTGATTTATGGTTACTTAAAGGGAGGGAATTTGGGGACTGCCAAGCTAAATAAATATCATGTAAGAAATTTAAAAGCCAAAATACTAATGTATTTCTTTGTAGTGCGATTAGGGAAAAAAGGTTGTTTTTTAAACAGACTGTTCAGTTGAGAATTTCTTTTTTACCAGGTCTTAAACCAACAATGCATTCTGCAATCCAGCAGTAATGCGGGATATTTTTTTATACTTACCTGCAACAGGGGTCAGATCCAAACAAAAGCAATAGTGATGAAACTGATACAATGTGAACTGTTGTTAAAGAAATCAAGTGAAATCTGGCAATAAAGTTAACCATTCAGTTCAAGCCTTGTTGAATATAAACTGTTGAAATGGATATTCTTCCATGTGAAGTTACTTTCTCTTTTACTGTCATTCTTCACATGTTTTTAATCATGCTAATAAACTTTTTTGAGATGACTTTTTGCATTAACTTTTGTGTTCATTTTTATAACCATAGCCACGCTTGTCTGCAGCAACTGCTCTTTGTGTTGAGAATCAAGCTTTCAGTAGCAGCACAACCTTGCGTTTATTTAAACAGCATTTAAGTATTGTTTAAAGGGATAACAGTCCACAAAAAAATGTATCACTTTTAGTTGGGTTTCCTTCATGTTCCGCTCAAAGCCTCATAAGTCCTCATTGCTTTTGCATATGCCATTTTCCAGCTAAAGGGGTTATGGTAGAACTTGCTAAAACTGCACTTTAAACTGATAAGGTTAATAATAAACTTTCTAAGCAAGTTGTTCCCAAAAGTTTTCAGCTTAAAAAAATTGCAGGCAGTTTCTTGCAAATTTTGTGAGTCAAACTGCCTCTGAGGATCAGGCTATAGGGACCTGATTTTGAAGGTTTTGCTAGCTTGAGACATTTTCTTTTCTTCAGGAACATTAAAGAGATGCTATTTATTTTAACATGTCTTGTTTTAAAAACTCTGTTTAAAATGGATAATTTCTGGCAGTTGGGATATAACCTTCCTTTAAATCAACAAGTGGCATCATAAGTAGTACAGAACTGGCAAGCATCCATCTCACATTGCTTGGGATGTAAGTGTTGTGAGAGAGCAGAGAAACCTCAGCTTGTATATCAGCTGGTAAGTAAAGTAAGAACTGACTTATCTTTTGGTTTTGAAGTCTAAAAATGTTGTGCGTTGTGGTTTTTTGTTTTGTTTTTAATGATCGGTGATCTTAGGCCAGGTAGGACAATTCAGCATGTCTTTTTAGGTTTACCTTGGACTTCCTTTGCCTGGTGGTTAGTGATTTCTCTTGGAAATTTAATAGCCTTTTATTCTCAGTCATCTTTGTGGAATAGTAAGTATTCTGTAGTATGGGGCAATGAGTTTGACTGGTGGGTTTTTTTCAAGAGTAATTGAGGATCAGTATTCTCCTTTCAGCATGTGCTGTTGAATTTTGGCACAGTACAATCAGATTTGTCGGTTGGAAAAATGAGCTATGTATGCTCTGGAGTGAATCCATTTTTGTTTTACCACCTTCATTTGTACTTATCTAGTAGTGGGAAAATATGTTTCTTAATGTGTTATCAATTTAGCTTCATGTAGCAAGTATGTATTAAGTCCGACTTCTTCAAAGGTACTTCAGTGTTAAAAATCACACAAGAGACTATGCATTTCACCTCTCCTATCTTTTAGTCCTGTCACTTATGACTTCAGTTTTTAATAGCTTTGAGGGGTTCTGGGACAGAAGGAGCAAGGTAAGTAATAGGGGGTTTTTTCCCTTATGATTTCCTATTTTGTTCCCTCTTATTTAAAGAAATATTCTTACACTTGAGATGGGGAATTAAAACAGTTATTAAAACATGAGCAATAATAGCAAAAAGCTATGAACAGAGTAAGCTTAAATTCAGCAGGGTCAAAAACCTGCTTTGTCCTGATGAACAAACAGAGCAGCCCTGAGGGACTGTACCTACAGCTGTACTTCTAAAATCAGTTCTTTGTGAAGGACGAGGCACAGTGTGGCTCATTCTGTCAGGGAAGGGACTTCTTTCTCATTCCAGACCTTGCAAGTGCATTTGCATGCAGTTAATGTCTGCTCACACAGCCTGTGCAAAGAAACTCTTTTGAGTCCAGTAGTTGATTAAATTGCCTGGAATACTTTAAGAAATCATCCAAGGGCACAAGTGTTTGTTGCAAGTCCAGGGTCCAAATTCATTACTCCTGGGCTTGGGGAACCTCCCTTGTCCTTCTGCTGTCCCTGTCCTGCTGCGGGTGACAGTGTGCAAGTCACACTTTGGTAGTCTCACTAACGTGCAGTGTTTTGCCCTGGAGAGTAACTAAACTATCTGTTCTGTCAAGGTGGTACTGGATGTGTTGCATCGCAGGAAAAAAGATGCTGTGCACGGGCACGATTTAGTTGGAAACTTTCAACGCAAAGTTGGAACAACTTCATTTCACAGAAACCACAGCCTCCTTTTGCTGGGTGATCCCAGGTACAGTCATTTCGTGTTCTGCTCCGAGGAGCCCAGGGCCACCTGCCCGTACTTGGGTGGGGAGGTGGGGGGAGCAGCAAGCTGGGCAGCACCAGCCTGGCCCTGGGTGTTTGCCCCACACAACTTGTTGAGCTCTCTTCCCTCTTGGGAGGGGAAGCATCCTCTTCTGCCTGCTATGGGAGTCTCTCACCCTCTGAGCCCCCCAGCAGAGGAGACTTCTTTTCCCTCCCCTCTGGCTGAAGGCTGGGTGCTGCTGGGCAGACACCTGAGGCTGTGAGGCGGTGCTGGCCCCAGTCCCTGCCCCCTGCTCTCGGGGTCCCTGGCTGCAGCCTCCCAGCTCATTGCACTGCCTGTGTGGGGAAGGAGGCACACGCAGCAGAGGCAGGTAAAGTGCCGTGGGGTCCTGGCTCTCCCCAAGACCCCACCATCTCTTTCTTCTCTTCTGCCCTCCCCTTACTTCTCTCTCTCCAGCCTGAACCCAGTGAGGGTTCCCTCACTGCATATAGTGCTTTTTTTCAGAGATGCTGCAAGGGGGAGCATGGGCACTGGCAGTGCAAGGGCTTATCAGCAAGACTTCTGATTATGAGGTTAGCTTTCTGGGTATCAAGCTTCAGATAAGGCAGCGGCTGCATTGGAGTGAGTGATAAAACATCTAGGATTGCTTTACAAAAAAGGGACCAAGAGGAGAAGGCAATCTGGGAGCTCCTCATAACTGAAGAGTCCTGCAAGAGTGACATCTCAGAGATATGATCACAGCATATGCTGCTATGGTGCAAGGAACAATTTCTGGGGAAATGCTGGGATCTGCAAGAGATCCCCACAGGGTGATTTGGGATTGTCTAAAAGCCGCAGTGAACTTCTGCAAACAGACTAGTTTCACTGACAAAAGGAACTATTTCACCCCGCAGATTGTCTTACCAAGCAGGGCTATTTCACAGCAGACTTTTTCTGCACCTGCTAATGGTCCACTGGAGTTAGTCAGGATAAAAAAGCACTTCCCATAGCATTTAATCTCCTTATATATTAGTATGCTTTAATTAAAATATGCTCCCTGATCAAAGTGAATCAGTTGGAATAAACAAATCAAGATTGACATTGGTAGCATGATTTAAACTATGCAGAGTAACCAAACCTTACTGCAAAATTAATAGGGCAAAGGCAGAAACAAAAACAAGACAGTTCATTGTCTAGGAAACCAGATACGTCTGAATGAGAGACATGTACTGTGGCGCTCCCAAAAGAATAGCTGAAAAGGTTTCAGTGTGTGCAAGAACAGGACAAAGGTAATAGCTTCTCAAAGTCTAATGTTTAAATTTTTCATCATCCGTCAGTTTGAGTCACTCCTGTTACAAGACTGAAGTTAAGTATTTGTGACAGACTGAAGTATTGCTAGAGGCTGTTGAAAGACATTTTCATAAAAGTACCTTGCTGATACATGAGATTAAACAATTTGAAAAAGGCATTTGTATTTATCAGATCTGTAACTCAAGCCATGGCAGAGAACTTTTTTTAAAAAAAAAAAAAAAAAAGAGAGAGAATGGATCCAAATTCAACAACAAAAAGAAATGCAGAAATTAAGTGTCTTGCAGATAAACCTTTGAATTGAAGGAAAGGAAGAAAAAAACCCCAACAAAGTCATCTCGGGCTCAGAGTGAAGATGGCCAACAGGGCCCTCCATGTCATTTGTTAAAATCAAGAACTAATCCCAGTGTAAGAAGCTGCAATCTGTAGAGCAGGGTAGCATCTAATATCTCAGATTAATTAATTGTTTTACCTGTGGGGATGGTGAGTCTCATGGCTGGGCAGAGGGCCAGGCTGAGGGGGCAGAAGCAGAAAATCCTCTCTGCAGTAAACTTGGTGCCATGTGGACTAAAGCGGCTCATGGCCCTCAGTGCTGCGGAGGGGACGTGGCTGCCGAAACACCTGTGTGAATGAGACCTGCTCAGTCTCTGCTTCCTCTCCATCCCATTGCATTATTGCAATGTGTATCCTTGTCCTTCAGGAACTAGACCGAAAGAAACAAATGAATTTCATATAGGACAACTGTGGGACTGTCAGTCTTTTCTGAGGAGAATCAGTGACACCCTAGTGAAAAGCTCTGGGTATCCCATTACTGCCCTTCCAGCTAATTTATTTTTCAGTGCTCTTTATGCCACATAGCACAGCACAGCAGGGATAGCAAGAGCTAGTAAACCACATATTTCCATAGAAACTATGTCCTCGCTGATTGTGAAAAAGTGATGGTACGCTTCTCATGAGTACAAAGTCTAGAGCTTTGATCCATTTAAATGAAGTGCCATGGTCTTGAACTCTGTTTCCTAAATGCATCACATTCGCTCTGCTTCAGAAGGGCATAAGGACATTTCCCCCCTTTTTGCAGAGTGACGGCAGCAGGGAAGGGGAGCACTCCTTCATCCTCCCTGCCTGGAGCACCCTGCACTGACACGGGGCAAGCAAGAGGGCAGGTCCTCCCACCGTTTGAGTTCAGAGATCTGCAAACGCAGGGTCCCAGACGTAGTCTGCAGTAATCATGCGGGCAACTTAACAAGCTAGAAAAAGCTTAGGGTTTGTTTGGAGCTTCTTTACTATTTCCTTTTGCGCTTCCTCTATTTCTTTTCTATTTTATCGGAGTTTAAAAGGATTTGTTTGTTTGCTTTAACAAAACTGAATTTAAGCAAGCACTTTTAGATCATTCTGATCTCTATCTGTACTCCATAGCTTAGGCTGTCTGTGATTTATAGCTATGAAAGTTTTGGGTGAATATTGCCTTTTCACTCTGTTCTTTTTATTTTCCTTTTCAATCCAAATACCTTCTGGTTCTAATAAACACTAGAAGAAATGTCCAGACTTTTGAAGATATGTTTCTTATTGATATCAATGAATCACGCTGAGATTACATACAATCAGAACTCTGAAGGTAAGACCAGAAGTCCTGTATGAGTGATGTATTTTGTGTGGATGGAAAAAGCTATATGTAGTAA